GTGGGGTTCCGCCAGCCTTGGCCTGCCGGGGACTCAGGCGGCTGGGGGGGGGACCGGGAAGGAGGGGACGCCAGGCGGCCGAGCTAGCGCTTTGTTGTCTTCACTGCTACAACGGGCCTGCTTCCTAGTGTATGTGTATGTATATTAAGGGTAGAGATTTCATAAGACATAAGTAATTTCCGTGTGTGTAAGTCTCTTGTCTGTAAGATCAAATCTATGATGAGTGTGGCTATGAGATCCCAGTTTATCAAAGGAAAAATGCAGTCAGGTAACTTCGTTACCTTTACAACCAAAAATGAAAACTACATTATTTATTGATTGATGAGATTTTTATGCTGCCTCTCCAGAGTCCTACTTGTTTTGGTTTGCAATTGACATGATAATTGTCAATATGAAAATAATTAAAATGATAAAATTAACAACAAAAATTATTAATATAAAAACAAGCCATTAAAATAAGTCCATGGCCTAAATAGGCTAAAATGACCCAACATTGTTCTAGACCATCATGTTCCAAAAGGGAAAAAAAAATGCTCGTGGGGGGGCGAGGGGGGAGAGGGGGGGGGGGGGGGGGGGGGGGGGGCTGCTGCTAGACCCGCGAGTGTCTCTGCCTAGGTCAGAGGGACAGAGCTGGCAAGGCCGTGGGTGCCCGCGGGGTCCTCAGCTGCTGCTGCTGAATGAGCTTTGCTTAGCCCTGCCGCTCTCAAAGAGGACGAGGAAAGGCCCGGTGTGGGGTCAGCTTCTCGCCTGTTCGTTTAAACCCAGCTTGAGTATAAAGATCAGTTGTTAGGCTTTAAAGAAAGTTTTTTTCTGACCACTAGGAGTAGAAATAGAATTCTAAATATAAAGGCTGCTTGCCAGACCAAATTTATAAGTGATATAAATGTATAAGTGATAAAAAACAAGCTTCTAATTTAAATGCTGTGGAGGGTAAACATCTAGGCAATTCAAAAATTGCTCTCAGAAATTTAAGTTAAATTACCGTATTTTCCGGCGTATAAGACGACTGGGCGTATAAGACGACCCCCAACTTTTCCAGTTAAAATATAGAGTTTTCCAGTTAAAATATAGAGCTGTGCTGATGCTTCTGGCGTACCGGCGTATAAGACGACCCCCCACTTCTGAGAAGATTTCCCTGGGTTAAAAAGTAGTCTTATACGCAGGAAAATACGGTAGTTCAATAGAAGGAACAACGACTTGTATCCAGACCAGTGATAATCTGTTGAATGTGCATGACTCTGTATATGCTACTTCAGCTGAAGTGAACTTTACTAAGTGTATTGTGAGCATTTTTTTACCAATTTCTTCAGGATGCTTATTGAAAGTACAGGCCCCTTTCAAAAGTATCAGTACTGCATTATAGTAACCAAGATCCAAAGAAGGGTCCATGGAACCATAGAGCTGGAAAGGGCTATACAGGCCATCCAGTCCAACCCCCCCTGCTCAGTGCCGGGTCAGCCTAAAGCTGGGGTGTCAAACATGAGGCCCGGGGGCCAGAACCAGCCCGCCCAGGGCTCTTATGTGGCCCGGGAGTGACTGGTGCAAGGGAGGGAGGAGGAGGCTGCTGGGTGGGTGAGGGGAGCCACTCCAGTCGTGGCTTCAGCCCGGTGGAACAGCCTCATCTGCAGCAGCAGTCAAAAAGAACCCTTCCACTTCAGGGACAGCCTCACAGGTGTAAGTTGGGAGCCACTGCAGCCACATTCAAACCTCCTCCACTCAACCTGCAGCTCCAGGGATGCTGTCCCAAAGGGCCACAGGGATCAGTGTTTGCACGTGGGGGATGCAGACAACCCTCTGTTGGAGCCTGCTGACAGCCAGCTCCGCTGCCGTATTCATGCCTCTCCCCCCCCCCCCCAAGGCGTGCGCTGTCTTTTGTAGTTTTCCACCTTGAGGCTAGTGCTGCTGCTGAGCACGTGACTCAGCAACTGGGCCCCCTTCCCCCATGGACCACCCAGCACATGGCCCGGCCGGACAAAATGACATTTATGTCAGATCCGGTCCTCATAACAAATGAGTGTGATACCCCTGGCCTAGAGCATCCCCGACAAGAGTTTGTCCAGCTGCTGTTTGAGGACTGCCAGTGAGGGGGGAGCTCACCATCTCCCCAGGCAGCTGATTCCACTGCTGAACGACTCTTTCTGTAAAAATAATAATAACAAAACCCTAATGTCCAGCCAGTATCTTTCCACCTTTTGACCTGGACGGCCCAGGTGAGCCTGACCTCATCAGATCTTGGAAGATAAGCAGGGTCGGCCCTGGCTAGTATTTCGATGGAGACCTCCAGAGACAACCAGGGTCATGACGTGGAGGCAGGCCATGGCGCCAAACCCTCTCTGAGTGTCTCTGGGCTTGGAAGCCCCTCCCGCGGCCATCATAAGTCAGCTGGGACTGGATGGCGCGCGCGCACACACACAGAGAGACATCTTTCTGCCCATAATTTGAACCCATTATTGCGACTCCTATTCTCTGCTGCCAACAGGAACAGCTCTCTTCCTTCCTCTAAGTGACAGCCCTTAGAACATAAGAACATAAGAGATGCCAATGTTGGATCAGGCCAAAGGCCCATCCAGTCCAACACTCTGTATCACACAGTGGCCAGAAACACCAGGTGCCCTCAGGAGGTCCACCGGTGGGGCCAGGACATTAGAAGCCCTCCCACCGATTGACCCCCCCCCCAGCACCAAATACAGAGCATCCCTTGCCCCAGAGTCCCTATCTATACCTTGTGGCAAATAGCCACTGATGGACCTCTGCTCCATATGCTTATCTAATTCCCTTTTGAAGCCGTCCATGCTTATAGCCGCCACCACCTCCTGTGGCAGTGAATTCCATGTGTGAATCACTCTTTGGGTGAAGAAGTACTTCCTTTTATCCGTTCTAACCCGACCGCTCAGCAATTTCATGGAGTGCCCATGAGTTCTTGTATTGTGAGAAAGGGAGAAAAGTACCTCTTTCTCTACCTGCTCTATCCCATGCATAATCTTATAAACCTCAATCATGTCACCCCTCAGTCGTCGTTTCTCCAAGCTAAAGAGCTCTAAGTGCTTTAACCTTTCCTCATAGGGACAGTGTTCCAACCCTTTTATCATTCGAGTTGCCCTTTTCTGCACTTTTTCCAAAGCTATAATATCCTTTTTAAGGTGTGGTGACCAGAACTGCACACAGTATTCCAAATGAGGTCGCACCATTGATTTATATAGGGGCATTATGATATTGGCTGATCTGTTTTCAATACCCTTCCTAATAATCCCCAGCATAGCATTGGCCTTCTGTATTGCAGTCACACACTGTCTCGACATTTTCAGTGAGTTATCTACTACAACTCCAAGATCTCTCCCTTGATCAGTCTCTGCCAGTTCAGACCCCATCAACGTGTATTTATATTTAGGATTTTTGGCTCCAATGTGCATCACCTTGCACTTGGCCACATTGAACCCCATTTGCCATGTTGACGCCCACTTGCCCATCCTTGACAGATCCCTTTGGAGTGCCTCACAATCCTCCCTGGTTTTCACCACCCTGAACAACTTCGTATCATCCGCAAATTTAGCCACTTCTCTGCTTACTCCCAACTCCAAGTCATTAATGAACAAGTTAAAAAGCAGTGGACCAAGTACTGATACTTAAAGAGACTCCTCCAGACTGAACATCCTCATGTCCCTCAGCCCTTCCTTATAGGGCTTCTTGGTCACCAGGCCCCTGACCATCTTCTTTGGACTGAAGTGAGGCCTCCAGAACTGCACATAAGTACACCAAGTGCAGTCTGGCCAATGCAGTGTACAGTGGGACTGTGATATCTTGTGATTGGGATGTAATGCCTCCATTGATACACACCCCAAGACCACATTAGACTTTTTTGCTGCTGCATCACACCGACTGCTCCTATTTAGCTTATAGTTCACCCATACCCCAAGATCTTGTTCATACACACTGCTACGCAGAAGTGTCTCCCCCATCCAGTATGTGTGGTTTTCATTTTTGTTACCCAGATGTAGAACTGTGCACTTTTTCTTGTTGAATTGCATCTTATTCAGATCTGCCCACTTTTCCAGCATGTTCAGATCTCGTTGAATCCCATCTTCTGGTGTGCTCGCTACTCCTCCCAACTTGGTGTCATCTGCAGATTTAATGAGTAGTCTCTCCAACCCCTCATCCAGATCATTTATAAAAATATTGAAAATCCTGGGCCCAGAATTGAGTCCTGTGGCACCCCAGTGGTTGTGCCTTTGCAGTCCCGTGAAATGCAGCCGACAACTACTATTGAGGTGTGGTTCTCCAACCTGTTCCCTCTCCACCTAAAACATTCTGGAGTCCAATCTGCTGTCCAGAATTTAGTTTCTGCATTAGATTTGAGAATGTCGGCTCACCATCTTACATGTTGTTTCTGAACTTTTTCATTCTGAATATTCACAAGTATGTTGCTAGCAAAACTTTGCAAAATGCTTCTGTGATTATGGGGACTGCACCAGTGGTTGCTCATATCTACCTACTACCAGTCTGGTGTAGTGGTTAGGAGTGCGGACTCTAATCTGGGAGAACCGGATTTGATTCCCCACACCTCCACATGCAGCTGCTGGTGTGACTTTGGGTCAGTCACAAGTTTCTTCAGAGCTGTTCTCTCACGAGCAGTCGTTGAAAAAGGTCTGTTGTGGGGAGGGGGAGGGAAAGAAGATTGTAAACCGCTCTGAGATTCCTTTGGGTAGTGAAGAGCAGGGAATAAATCCAATCTCCTCCTCCTCCTCTTCTTCTTCTTCACTATAAGGTGAACAGCTCATAAATGGTGCTGCTAGTATATAGTGCAGTATGTATCTGAAACAATTTTTGATGTCTTTTCATTGTGTGTGTGTGTGTGTGTGTGTGTCTGTTGCGTAGCTCATTCTTTAACCAGCCTAATATGGTTGTTCTCAGCTTGTGAGGAATGCTAGCAATTTATCTGACCAATCTTGTTCTAATACCTTTTTCTCATCTCTCTCTGAATTATTTGGGGTATATGTGGGCAGCCTTCGGAATACAGTTACTACCTTGGCTCAGGATCTCGGGCTTCTTCTAGAGCTAGTTCTGCTCGTGCAAGTCCAGTGGTGAGCATCTCTTTCCTTCTCCTTTTTGCCCTGTTGTGCATGGCTTTGTTTCATTCTCTCCCAGGCTTATTTGTACAAGACTGCTGTACACTGCTTATTGATTTCAGATTAAAAGACAACATTAGAGTTAACTGACGTCTAAAAAGCTAAATGGATCATTAGACTGTTAACACAGTAATTAAAGCTGCTTCCCCTGTTTGGTACCAGGCTGTGTTCCTAAGGCACGTTGTGTCATTATTACATGATATAAGAGGAACGCTGATAAGCTTGGCTGTCAGCTTTGTGAACTGTTCCTTGATCATTTGCATTCTTTGTAGTTTCCTGAAGGCAAACTAGATGAGGCACTGGAAGATCCATGATTGGTCTCCTGTTTACAAATACTTAATAGTGTTGGATGACTTGAATCAGGACAGAGAAGTGGTACTTGGTAGGGTGGGGACTGGAGTGAGTGTTTGGCTTTCACCTGTGCTGCTTTCCTGATCTAAATTCCCCCCCCCCCATCAGTTACTCCCAGAATTGTAGAACAAAGGTATTAGAAATAAAATGAACACACTTCTTCCACTTTCTCTTCTCTGTCTGGTTCCATCTTGGACTTTAAACAGCAACTGCGGCAAGAGAAGTTAGCTGCTGGTGATCATCCCTGATATTTGTTTCCTGGTTGGGCATAGAGAAAGGGAGAGCCAGTGATGCCCCTTTAATCTAGAAAGCACCATGGTTATTATCTGTTCCAGTATAAGACACATTGTGGGGAAGGAGGGGTCGTAGCTCAATGGTAGAACGTCCCTGGTACCATCTGTTTAAAAGATCGGGTGGTAGTAGTAGTAGATGGGAGAGAAACCCTGAAGAGCGGCTGTGAGGCATGGGAGGCAACCCTGACCTTGACCAACCAAGGCTTTTACTGAGCATGCGGCAGATCCACGGGGGCGTGGTCACCGCTGAGAGGATTCCGGACATCTTGGACAGGAGAGCAGCTGGGCAGAAGGAACTGGCGCCGAAGGAAGAAGCACAGAAACCAGAAGTGGGACTCGGGAGTGAAAGAGATGGGCGAGAGTGCTGACAAGAGAAACTCTGCAGGACGGCCTCGCTTCCCATGAGGCTTGGGGGTGGCAGGGCTGAAGGGCTGGCGGTGCAGCTCACTAGGCGAGCACGTAAGACGTGCCCCCGGTACACAGAGGCGCAAAGTATGATCATGGCACCCAACTGAGACTACCAAACTCTTCTCTCGTCAGAGCAAATGAAGCATCTCTTTCAAAAACAAAGACTGCAAAATCTGTACGAGATTATTAAATTAAAGTTTCTAATAACCCTGTTATCCTTTTGACACATTTTGTGATACTCTGAAAGATAATTTTCTATTTACCGGGTCTTATGTTGAGCATAAATTGCCATTTCTCATTTTAATATTGTGGACTATTTTTCACTGTCTTGACTTGAATGTTCTTTATAATTCAGATCTTTAGCTGAATGAAATTATGCAAATTTTTTAGCATATTTATACCCCCGCCCTCCCCACGAATGGGCTCAGGGCGGCTTACAAAGTTGGTACAATGTACCTGGTATATATAAAACAATTAAAACATTTTAAACAGTTTAAAAACAGTTAAACAATCCTACATTTAAAATTATCTCAGTACTGATCTCCATTTATTAAGCTTTGAATGGTGTGGCCTAAACGACAATCATAGTTCCCCCAGTTTCCCCCTTCAGCGGCCTTCTGGCCACCTGCGAAGACCTAGCTCTATCTCTATCCCTATCCCTATCCCCATGGCCGACCCTATCCACCTCGATGGTCAGGTGGTAGTGGTAGTGGCGGCTCCTAGTTGAAAGCTGGGTGGAAGAGCTCTATCTTGCAGGCCCTGCGTAACTGTAAAAGGTCCCGCAGGGCCCTGATCTCTTTCGGGAGCTCATTCCACCAGTGAGGAGCAGCCGCTGAGAAGGCCCTGGCCCTGGTGGCCACGAGCCTGGCATCTTTGGGGCCTGGAATGACTAACCAATGTTGCGACCCCGACCGTAGTGCTCTCTGGGGTCTATATGGGGAAAGGCGGTCCCTCACGTATGTCGGACCCTGGCCATGTAGGGCTTTAAAGGTAAGTACCAGCACCTTGAAGCGAATTCGGTATGCTATTGGCAGCCAGTGCAGTGCCTTCAGGACAGGCTGAATGTGCTCCCATCTAAGGAGACACATCAAAAGCCTGGCCGCTGCATTCTGCACCAGCTGTAGCTTCCAGATTTGCGACAAGGGCAGCCCCATGTAGAGAGTGTTACAGTAGTCTAACCTCAAGGTGACCATCGCATGGATCACTGTAGCCAGGTCGTTGCGGTCAAGGAAGAGAGCATAGATACATCTGCTAACCCAGGGATAGCAAGAAGTTGGTCTGGGAATTCTCCTTTTTGAAAATGGTAGTTGTGGCGAGAGGAAAGAAATAGGAAAGCTTCAGGGCACCACACGTGAAGTAGGCAAGGACACTGGCGTCTCTGTGGTTTTATTGAAAGTTATACTGAAAACTTTGAAAACGTGCATATGGAAGATAAATGGACAAAACCAATGAAGCTTTCTGTCCCCAGCGTGTGTCTCTAATGGTTCGACTGAGCATTCAGTTTACAACATTTCAGTCTGACAGACAAAGAATATACATATACATTTCTGAAAACTTTTAAACTTTTAAACTTATTCTTTACTTCGAAAATGTGTACACTGCCTCGCCAGATCTGCCTGAGGTGTCTTACTGTTAACCATGAGAACGAGGATCCCAGTTGTAGTAAAATAACCCTGCAAAGTCCTGGTTTGCAGTGGAAATGGGGATTTCTTCAGCTAGTCTTCATCTTTTAGTAACCAGAAAGGCTTTGCTTCTAAAGAGACAGACTCCTGCTTAAACAAAGGGGAAATCAGTTCAGCTCTGAAATCTGAAAAGTCAGGGCCATCCAAAAGAATATGATCTGTAGAGTCAATTCAGTTAGTACCACATCCAGAGAGTCTGTTGGAGTATGGGATACCATCAGATCTTCCTAACAGCACCGCCGATGGCAAGGCGTTCCAGAGCCACAGGCACAAATGCCCCTCTGTACTGTGGAAGGGATCGTTCAAATGAGTAGTTTGGCATTTTTATTGGAGGAACCCAGAATACCAACTGAAAAGAGTGAACATGCTCTGCCCTCTCTAATCAAGGTACTCTTATAATCAAGATCCCTCAAATGTTTTTTAGTTGACTGACTCAGTTCACAGCTACTCATTGCTTCTATCATATCATTAGTTATCCCCCAGATGTAACAATTTAAATTCCAAGAAGCAGGCTCAGGGTGGCTTACGTAAAAGTGTTAAAACAGTTTAAAACACATGAAATTTAAAGTGCAATACATATATATTTCCTCTGCGACGGCAGTCATAATCCCCTATTTTCTTAACAGGAGTCAGTTAGTGCAGACTGTCCGAATCTGTCATATGTTGATCCAGCACAACTAATCCAAGACAATCTGAATTTGATTCTAACATCCTAATTTTCTTCCAAAGAACCCAGGAGAGTGTAGATATGTATATACCTAGTTATTCCATTTTATCCCTCACCACTATTGTAAGGTAGGTTGGGCTAAGAGTTGAGCACTCAGTGAACTCGTGGGCACTCAATGAAATTGCTGAGCAGTCAGGTTAGAACGCATAAAAGGAAGTCCTTCTTCATCCAAAGAGTGATTAACACATGGAATTCACGGCCACGGGAGGTATAGGAAAGGGAAATGGCTCCTCCTGATAGTTAGACCTCAGGGGAACAGGCTTCCTTGGGAGGTGGTAGGCTCTCGTTCTTTGGAGGTTTTCAAACAGAGGCTAGATGGCCCCATCTGACAGCAATGCGGATTCTGTGAACTTAGGCAGATCCTGAGAGGGAGGGCAGGAAGGGCTGCCTCAGTGCTTAGTTCTTGTGGCCCTTCTTACACACCCAGGGAAATGCCAATCACCACTTTGGGGTCAGGAAGCAATTTTTCTCCAGGCCAGTTTGGCTGAAGATCCTGGAGGATTTTCTGGGCATGGAACAGCAGTCACTGCAGGTGTGGAGGGGCGGGTATTTGTGGATTTCCTGCATTGTGCAGCAGGGGGTTGGACTAGATGACCCTGGAGATCCCTTCCAACTCTATGATTCCGCAAACTGTCATCTAATTGTGGTTTCTTCTTTCACACTCCAGGTTGAAGACAGGCCTGACAAAGACTTCGATAAGGTAATAGAGAATGCATATACATAGATATAGATATATTGACTGGGATGGACTACAGGGACTGTATTACTGCAGTCTTGTTCCATCTACACTGGCTCCGAGTTTGCTGCTGGTGTTGTCCTTTAAAGCTCTCAGCAGCTTGGAGCCAGCATGCCTTCTCCCATATGAACCTACACACCCACCCCTGTCATCTTTGGAGGTCTTGTTGCAGGCGTGTGTGTGTCCCCCCCCCGTCCCCCCCCCAGTTGTCTGAGGTGAGATGGTGGCAGCCTAAGGAAGGGCCCTCTCAGCTGCAGTGCCAGAAACACGGCACTCCCTCCCCAGGGGGATCCTCCTTCTGCCTCTCTCTGGCATTGTCTTCCCTGGCTGGTGGAGACCTTTTTTGTTTCGTTTGGTGTACCCCCAGTAAACTCTCTGGCCTTCCCCCTTGGTTCTATATGTACGTTTGTCTGTATTTCTGTATGTTTCTAGTGCAGTCTTGAATATTTATATATACCTTTTAAATGTTATTTTAATGTTTTGATATTTTCATGCTTGATGTTCACCGCCGGGGGGGGGGGGGGCTATTTGGATGGAAAGGTGACGTAGAAATGTTTTAATTAGATATATAAAAAAATCTGGACACACACGACCCGATCAGTTAAACAAGTATAAAGCCAACAGTCGTGATAGTCTGACCCACAATCAAACAGTCATAAGACTTATAAAGAATGCTGTTTATGTACTGCAATCTAAAGCACTACAACATGATACACAACTGAATAGAAAATCCTTGAACCAAGGTACATAATCAACGTCGTCTCCGGATGACATAACAATGTTTCAAAAAATGGATCTTCTTCAGGAGATATTATAGTGGTGCCAGAGCTCTCAGTTTCATAAATTTTAGACAACAAGTCTTAAGAATATTAAATTCAGATAGGATGCTGATCTCAATTAACATTCAGGCTCAAAATATGCTGCTATATAGCCTGAATGTTAATTGAGATCAGCATCCTATCTGAATTTAATATTCTTAAGACTTGTTGGCACCACTATAATATCAATTCCAAATGTAGAGGTGGGTGATTGCTATCATAGGGATTTCACAACTGAAATGAACTAATACGGGGGGGGGGAACTAATACAGTCAGACATGGAGGGTGAAACCAGGAAATAATCAGACTACAACCTTTGATGAAAAGATACGTAAAGTCCCCCTGCCTTATCCAATCTAGCATCTCCATTTACAGTTATTAGTCCTAACTTACTGGATCCAAAAGGCGCCACCAGAGTCCACCACTTTGTCTTTTAAGAAGGAAAGAACAGAGAAAAGGTTGATCCAGAGTGCAGGTATTGTTTGGGACTGTCTCTAATTCACTGTGAGAGAATCCTTCATTCACCTGGTTCGTTCTGTATCAGAGAGCTTAAACTCATTTAGACAGACCTGGTTAGTGTAGGGTGATAGGTTTCGGAGGTCAGGTCTGACGCCAGCAGTGGTGATGGCCAAGTTCAGAGCCAGGGTGGACTCACCCCGAGGTCTGGTGGGCTACTTGCTGGAGCTAATTCACACTAGAGTCATGGTTGTTTGTGTGAAAATAACTAACTAACATGTATTTAATGCCTTGCTTAACTGCCATTACCTAACGATATATACTTCCAGGGGGTTCGTACTGTGTCAAGTTTGTCAGCGGCTACCTTGGCATCCCTGGGTGGAACGTCTTCACGGAGGGGCAGCGGGGACACCTCCATTTCAGTTGAGACCGAAGCATCTATTAGAGAAATTAAGGTAAGATGCGGGTGAGAAGTGGAAGCTAATGGGGTGACTGCACCGTACAGGAGCAAGGTCTGAACACAGCTGTTTTAACGTTAAAAGCACATTGGGACAAAAACTCCCAGCTTCAAGTCTAGGCTAACGGGGTCTGAACTTACTGAGACCAAGAGGGAAGAAGATCTTGGGGTCGAAGCGGGTAGCTCAATGAGAGTGCCAGCCCCAGTGTGCTGCAAAAGTGGGAAAAGGCAAACTCTGTGTTAGGGATTATTACAAAAGGTATTGAAAATTAAATGGCCGATATAATAATGCCCCGGTATAGATCATTGATGGTGCAGCCTCATTTGGGATACCATGTGTACAGTTCTGGTCACTGTATCTCAAAAAAGACTTTACAGAGCTGGAAAAAGTTCAGAGGAGGGGAAACAAGAGGATGAGGGGGGTTGGAGCCCCTCCCCTGTGAGGAGAGGCTGGAGAGTCTCTCTGGGACTTCTCCGTTTAGGAAAGAGACGACTAAAGGGGGGGGGGAACATGATGAGAGAGGTTTATACAGTTATGCACGGGGGGTGGGGAGAGGGCGGACAAAGAGGACTTTTTCTCCCTCTCCCAAAAGACTAGAACTCAAGGATATCCAATGAAGCTGGATGGGCAATAGATTTAGGAGGGACAAAAGGAAATACTTCTTTACACAGAGAATTATTAAATTGTGGAATTCACTGTCAGAGGATGTTGTGATGGCCACAGGAATAAACAGCTTTGAAAAGGAATTAGATGAATTTATGGAGGATGAGTCTATCAATGGCTACTAGCCGTGGGGACTGACGGGGACCTCCACATTCAGAGGCACTAAGCCTCTGAGCCCCAGAGCCAGGAGGCAACCTCAGGGGAAGGCCTCGGCCTGTGTTGTTGGCTGTCCAGAGCAACTGGATGCTGGACTCGATGGACTGTTGTTCTGATCCAGCAGGGCTCCTCTCATGTTCTTACGTTTGCCAGCAGTGGAGCCATGGTACTCTGCTGGGCGAGAGCATTTAGTATGTGATATAAATGTTTACTATACTAAATGTCTTCTGGAAACGAGTGAATTAAAAATTGCTCTTTCGTTTGTAATGGATAACTTTGTTGTCCCCCATTGCTAAGTGGTAATCCAGTGGTTTTCTTGACATAATGTTTTGCAATCTTCAGGACATCAGTGAGTTAAAGGACCAGATTCAGGATGTGGAAGGAAAATACATGCAGGGATTGAAGGAAATGAAGGTACAAGTTAGCTGTCGAGTGTGCTATTAACCTTGGCTAAACATTCATAAAAGAAAGAAGAGATGAGTGGAATTTCACTTGCCTTTCAGAGATCTGAAACTGCATAATAAGCTTATGCCATAGAATGTGTTGCACTTCTTATCACGGAATAACAAATGCTGAAAGAACTGCATAGATATAATTAGATCAAAGAGAGAAATAAAGCTGTCTTTTTATATGAAATTTTACAGTTGCATAAACAGGAAACAGAGAGAAATGCATTTTATTTTGAAGGTTTGGGTGTTGAGATTTGTAGCTGAAGACAGGCAGGAAGAAGAAAGTTAGTTGCTCCCAAGCCCTGCCAGGTACCAGCCATCAAAGCTTTGGAAATGCCTTCATGGCTGGAGAAGTTGAATTGGTCAGCTTGCACACGGATTTGAAATCTAACAACTAGAAGGGACACACAGATGTGTAAGGCTAGACTGCATTCTCCTGAAGATTTTAGGAAAGGAGTCTTCGACCTACAAGGGGTGGGCAAACTGAGATAATAAAATACTTGCCATGCAAAGAGAGGAGTCCGTCGTGGCTGATGATGTCTGCAGGAAGGAGCTCCCGCACCTGACTGCTCCACCTGATGATGGAGCTGAGGCAGTGTTTGGGCTCCCTTGCAGCCCAGAGGCACTCAACAGCCCCGACATCAGCTTTCAGCCGAAGGGCAGCTACCAGAACAGGGGGCTGACTGCAGATGCCCAGGCTGCCTCCAGACACCGGTGGGGTGGGAAATCTCTCGCTGCCGGAGGCGCCACTCGCCCTGTCCGGCCACCTGCCTCACCCCGGCGGCAGCGGCTGCGGCTGCTGTGCCTTCCTGTCTCCGTGGGGAGGGGCGGCTGCTCCCGCTCTCACCTACCCGCCTTTGTTTGTGTGTGTGGTTATACGTTGTTAGGCTGCCCTCAGAATGGCATTCAGTAGAGGTGTGATGTCTGCACAAGTGCAGATATTGTGTTTCTGATTCAGGACTGTGGTGGTGTTTTTTAAAGCCCCTGAATTTTCTTTTTAAGGATCCCCCCCCCCAAAAAAAAACAACCTGGGGGTTCTCCTTGGCTGGTAGACAGCTGTTCCTTCTCTCTACATGGCCCCAGTCTGCAGATTTAGTATCTGCTGGTGGGGCCATCTTGAGAATCGGATCTATTGAAAAGTGGGCAACCCTCAAGGACTTGCGGGGGATATCCCATTGCCTCCTCCTCTCCTTTACAGTTTCCCCCACTGTTTCCTGTTTCCACCTCTCCCCTTTTCCTGCTGCCTTCCCACCCACCAGCCAGCCTGCCTTTATCTGGCCCCAATGAGTTCTGCCTCAAAGGCCTAAAGAGTCCTGGAAGGGGCTCTCCCTCCTCCTCCTCCTCCTTTCCAGCCAGTTTGGTGTCGTGGTTAAGTGCAGGCGGACTCTAATCTGGGAGAACCGGGTTTGATTCCCCACTCCTCCTCCACTTGCACCTGGCTGGATGACCTTGGGTCAGTCACAAGCTCTGGCACAGCTGTCGTTGAAAAGAGCAGTTTCTGTCAGAGCTCTCTCAGCCCCACCGACCTCACAGGGTGTCTGTGGTGGGGAGGGGAAGGGAAAGGAGTTTGTAAGCCCCTCTGAGACACCCCTGGGTAGTGAAAGGCCATGGGGTATAAATCCAATCTCCTCTTCTCTTCTATAACGCTGTTGAGTTCATCCTCCAAAGCAGCCATTTTCTCCAAGGTCCTGTTCGAGAGCCAGTTTGGTGTCGTGGTTAAGTGCGCGGACTCTAATCTGGGAGAACTGGGTTTGATTCCCCACTCCTCCACTTGCACCTGCTGATGTGACCTTGGGTCAGTCACAAGCTCTGGCACAGCTGTCCTTGAAAAAGAGCAGTTTGTCTCAGAGCTCTCTCAGCCCCACCCACCTCACAGGGTGTCTGTTGTGGATTCCTCCTCCTCCTCCTCCTCCTCCTCCTCTTCTTCTTCTTCTTCTTCTTCTTCTTCTTCTTCGTCTTCGTCTTCGTCTTCGTCTTCGTCTTCTTCTTCCCTGCCTTTTACGGACAGAAACCAGGCCGGTCGTGGTTGCCTAGCGATGATGGTGATGATGATGATCCTGTCCATTTTAAAGGCTACAGAGGAATGGACTCTGGGATGGGGACAGGCCACGGAAGACGTGGAGTGGCCGTGTCTGCCTGAGTGGAAGCCTCAGAGGAATCCCAGAGGCGTTAAAGGAATTGTCAGTCTGGGGTTTTGAAATGCTGAGGTTGTGTGTTTCCCTTTAGGTTGCAGCTGTAGTTGAGCATTTGGTTTAAAACAGTTATAAAAAGATGGCTTTATAGTAGCTCTTTAGTTGTGCGGTTTTTGTTCCGTGGAAGATAAACTGATGGTCCTTGCTTTTTTGAGTGCCCTTCTTGCTTTGCCTTAAATTCTGATTATTTTTTAACAAGAGCTGTGTGTGGAGATTGTATATAACATTGGTTTTGCTTTTGCATGCTTCATACTACCTTGAAAATTATATCTAATTTTACAGAATTCTTACATTTCACAAAAATATTACGTAGTTTAGAACTGACCGGCTCCAGGAAAGCGTGAGACAGCCTGCAGAATCTTTTCTAATTCATGCATGCATGCCACTCTTAAAATTCTGCGCCACACAATGTCAGTATAAAACAAACATCCAGTAGCGTTTTACAGACTAATTACATTTCTTTCTATATGAGCTTTTGTGCGTCACTCTCGCCTCTTCAGATATATGGAGATCAAACTGGGAATCTTACTTAAGCGGGGAAATTACAAGGTGGGGGAAGAGGAATTGAGGCTGAGAGTGAATTCTGTTATGAACATTTCAAATGTAAATCTTTGTGTGGGGGAGGGGGGCATAGAAAGGTGGGTGTGAATCCAGTCAGAAAAAGTATGAGCTCTCCAGCTGTGATCACACACACTCAATAATCCACTTTCAATGCACTTTCAGACTGGATTTTGCCATTCACAATCCAGTTGGAAAGTGCATTGAAAGTGGATTATTGGGTATGTGTGATCGCAGCCTTGGTGTCTGAAACAGAATAGCAGCTTGTTGACTTCTTTACAGAGATATACAATCACATCCCGGATAATGGATCAATGCCTAAATCGTGGCCTGAGGCAACCATCTCGCCAATCCCAAAAGATAATAATAATAATTATTATTATTATTTATTTGATTTTTATCCCGCCCTCCCGCCGAAGTGGCTCAGGGCGGCTTACAACATTAAAACCAATAAAACAATGCCTCTAAAACATTGTTTTAGATGCTACATCGCCTTCATTTTACAGGCCTATCTCTCTTATTAATGTGGATGCTAAGATTTTTCCAAAGGTATTAGCCAACGGACTAAGACATTTGCTTCCTGAGTTGATCAGTCCAAACCAAGTGGGATTCATCCCCAAGAGAAATATGGTAGATAATATTAGGCGCTCTCTGGATATAATATCTTTTGGTCAGAAATCTAAGATGGCACTGGATTTTGGCACTGGATGTGGAGAAGGCTTTTGATTCTTTGGAGGTGGCTTTGCTGCGGTCAGTTTTAAAAAGAATGGGCTTTGGACCAAAATTTTTGAATGCACTTCAGGCGATATACGAGAAGTTAGAGTTAATGTGTGTTACTCTTCAAAGATCTCCCTGCAATGGGGTACGCGGCAAGGATGCCCGTTGTCCCTTCTCCTGTTCAGCCTTGCTTATGAAACCCTGGCGGAGATGATAAGAACAAATCCATTAATTTCAGGAATTAAAATTGGTAATCAAGTCCATAAAACGTCTTTATTTGCAGATGACCCGGTTCTCTGTTTAAGTAACCCTGTGTCCTCTCTGTAAATGTTACTTCCAATACTAGAGAAATTTGGTTGCCTGTCTGGATTGTGAGTAAATCCGTCCAAAACAGAGCTATTTCCAATATATCTCACTTCTGAAGCAAAAGCGACTCTTGAAAATGAATTTAGGTTTAAATGGACTGAGCAGGCATGGAGACACTTGGGAATTTTTATCCCAAGTGACTTGAAAGATCTATTGAAGGTCAGTTACCATCGCCTCCAAGAAGAGGTATGGAACAGCATGAAAAGATGGAACAACATGCATCTCTCTTGGCCAGACAGATTCCATCTGGTTAAGAGTTTGATCCTTCCCAGATACATTTTTTTATTTAGGGCATTGTCAATTTAAATACCTCAGTTGCAATTGAAAGTATGGCAACTAGAGCTGAATTATTTTTTATGGGCTAACAAAAAGTCTCGGCTTAATTTTAAGATGGTTCATAACCCCAAAGAACGTGGAGATATGGACGTCCCAGATTTAAGACTCTATCATGAGGCAGCTTCCTTCTTACCTGGGCTGGCTGCAGATAGAAAATGCTTTCTCTCCAGCTAACTCCTTAGCTGACTTTTTGTGGAATGATAAGAGGAATAGAAATGCAATGAAATTTTCTTCTCCATGTCTAGACAGCATGATTGCAATATGGGATAAAAGATGGAAAAACATATCTCCACGGAGATCTTTACTATCTTCGATTCAGAACCAGAAATGGTTTCCTCCCACAAATTCTCTGTCAGCAAGTTATACCTGGAAATCAACTAGAAATATACGTTTAATGGATCTACTTGATAATGGACTATTGAAATTAAAACAGAATGTAGAGGATCTTTTGCAACAGCCTCTTTCGTGGTGGCAGTACCATCAAATTAGACATTTGACACTTTCTTCTACTGTTAATGAGTCAATCTCAAGGCCTCTCACAGACTTTGAAATTTTGCTTTAAAATATACCTGAGCATACATCTGGTCTACTTTCTAGATTATATGATATTCTGTTACGATTATAAATGCCGAAAGCTTATTCTTACCAACAGCTTTGGCAGATAGACTGTCAACAACAAATTTCAGAGGAGGGTTGGCCAGGTATATGGGAGGCAGTATGTTTCAAATCAAATATATATTCTCTTAAATACCAATATATTAAGTTATTGACAAGATGGTATTTACCACCTACAAGA